TCCCCAAAACCCCAAAACCCCAAAACCCCTAGTTATTCATTTTTTATCAAATGTGAAATTGTATTAAATAATTTGTGAGTTATTTGAAGTTTAATAAAAATGTTCTTGGACTTTATTAAGCATTTGACACTCTCTTGCAGTTTGCTATCATCTTCAAAAGATTATTCTCATTTAGTCAATCTCAATTTGATTTTTGTTGAGGTGAATGATTTTTATCTTGGCTATGAAGGATTAGATTGGTAAAGCAATATAGAAAATTCAGATTAGATACTGAAAGGTGATGATTATTCATTAAATATGTACAGAGGTTTACAATAGGATAGGCTTTTGTATTAAAATTTTGGAAGAGATAACTTACTTTTCTACTACAAAAAGGGGGTTTATGACTAGGATGATCTTCATCAATTACTAGAGTTATTTTAGAACATTTATAGAACTTAAGGTACATTTATTAGAGTGTATTATGGAGCTATTAAGAATTAATATACATTAGAAGAAACCATATTCAAGTATTGGTATGAAAAGCCTAAAGATATAACTTTTAGTGGATCATTTGAGTAGCTCAATGATATAGAACTTTCATTAATCATTGATGCTTTTCATGTATGGAGAGATGATTTGATCATTAGAAATCATTTTTCCTTTACAAGTCCTAACATCATGGAATTTAAGAATGAATTTTTAGAGCTATTAAACATGCCATAAGGAAAAGATTTTATAGTCTATTTGTACTCAGATGATTGTGGGATTAAATGCAAAAATACTCATCTGTTTTATAATTAATTAGCTGATCATATCAGTAATGTCAGAGATGTTAAAGTTGCTCATACAGATATGACTTCTTCTATTTTTTGGGGAATATGGCCTTATGGACTGCCATATTGCCGATTTTACTCTCATTTAATCCGAAATAACTTTGAATACATCTATGAGCCATACAAAGTAGAGGATTATGTCAAGTTTTTGAAGAAAAAGTCAATTCTTTTTCTAAAGTATATGAATGCTAAGGATAGATAGAAAGCAGCACCAATGACTATTTAATAAATTGAAAGAGACTGGTATGTCAGACATTGTATCAATCATGAGAGTAATCCAAAACTCATGATGCAATATTTATTATACCATATCACGGACTATGACAATGTCCTAGATTTATATCTGTAAGAAAAAGTGAACCAAGAGAGGATAGGATATAATATCTACCAACTATCAACTCATAAAGAAATCGAGTATAAGTATCCTTTCTTTTAAGTAGTAGTAAAAGGAACAGGGGGCTTGATGAAAGTTGCACTAGTTGGAGCTCCCTTATATAAAGATTAAAGAGAAAAGTTTTATCAGCTTCAATTGGATGGATATATGATAATTGGAATTTAATCGTACAGAAGCTTTCCAATCTTTAATTAATGGGAGCATGATACTGATAGTAGAATTGCTGCTAATGATAGAGAATTCTAGGAAATCATGAAGTACTTTTCAGGATGGTTGCATAACATGAGAGAACCGGCGAAGCACTTGCCAGTTTACATTCCTAGAATGTTGTTTGCTGAGTCAGATCTATAATTATTTATGACTGAATCACACTATCCTGATGGTACTGATATAGAAAATAAGAAATATGATGTTATGTTTATGAATGCTGGCAATACTTCCTGGCATTCAGATGTTAAGAACTGGACGCTAGCTGTTGATTGCTTTAGAGAAATTATTGCTAAGACTGACATGAACATTTAATTAGTTGGAAGGGAGGCTCCTGAAGACTTGAAAGATCGTATTAATGTGCATACTTTTATGGGTTTCAAGGAATTTCTAGGGGTTTTAGGTGAAACAGACATTTTACTAATCCCAAGTATTTCTGATGCCTCTCCGAGAATTCTCACTTAAGCTTTGTCAATTAATACTGCAGTCATAGTCAATAAAGATATTGTTGGTGGATGGAAGTATATTAATGAGTAAACTGGAGCATTCTTCTCAACAAAAGAAGAAATCGTCGATGTGATTAACCTGGTCAAAGAAAGAAGAAGAAAAGGAATCTTAAGGCCCAAAGCTTGGTTTTAAGAGTATTCGACACATATTCATTAGAAGTTTGAAGTTTTTGTTGAGAATTTGCGAATGATGAATTTCTATGATAGAGATATTAATGGTTATCCTTTCGAAACAGCACTCTGATTTTTACCCCCAAAAACTCATCTTCATTTCTTAATTTCACATTAAGTTAAGTTAATGGTCACTCATGGGGTTTTGGGGTTTTGGGGTTTTGGGGTTTTGGGG